AGCTGTTGTAGGAGTAGGCGCCGGCGCCCACGCTGTAGGGCGCCCCGTACGCTTGAGCGCCCGGCGTGACGCACGGCTTGCCGTCCCGCACCAGCACCGGCACAGCCACGCGGCGCGGCGGCGGCGGGGGCGCGTGTGCGCCCAGCTCCAGGGACTTGTCCTGCCGCTGTCTCTTGCACTTGTACCTGCGATTCTGGAACCAGATCTTCACCTGCGTGGACGTGAGCTTCAGGCTGCTGGCGAGGTGCTCGCGCTCGGGCGCCGACAGGTACCGCTGCTGCTTGAACCTGCGTTCCAGCTCGAAGACCTGGGCTTGCGAGAAGAGGACCCGCGGCTTCCGGCGACTGCGCGGCTTGGGCCTCTCGCTCTCCTCCGCCGCCTTACCGTCTCCCACCACCTCCGCCGGCTTCTTCAGCTGGCAGCTTTCTGCGGAAGAAGCAAAACAACAGCGTCCCGAAACTGCTCCCGGCCTCAAAGCGGCTCTGGTCCCGAAGAACCTTGGCCTGGGTCGGTGACTGCCGGGAGCATGCGGTAGTAAAGGCCTGGGCATTTGGCAAACTTCGTGGTTCCTGCAGCCATGGGACCCTGCGACAGCCCAAGTACCCTGAGGTCGCCCTCGGCGGGCTGAGGCGCAGTCCACGGGGAGGGGTAGTTAGTGCGTTCTACTTAGAACTTGAGCATCTGAGAGAACAGAGATAACCCTGTATTCAGTGTGCGCCGCGGCTTGGCGTGCTAATGACTATTTTCAGGATGAAAGTTTACAACGACATAACAACTACAATACTTGCAAGCTCCTTTGCCTTCCTTTCTGCCGCTGATGGCTGAAGGTGTGGGGCATGTTGGTTTTGGGGGCCGGTATGCCTGGTGGGTTGTGCAGAAATCTTTGTTGGAAACATCTGAATGTAACTGTATTGCTTAGAGGCTATTTTTTGCTTTTAAAGGACTACATGCCCACAGCTAAATGTCAGCCGTGATGATGACTGTGTTACTTTAGAAAGAAAAGGAAATCTGACGGACTGACTGACAGATTTAGACAATTTCATGCGGAATTTTAGGCCCAGGGGAGCTGTCAGAGATTAGGCCTTGACTTCCACTACATCGAGCCACCTCTAGGAAAACGATTCTTTGACTTTGTCCCTTCAGAAACAAACACTTCCTTGGGGGCTTTATTCAGTTACCCGATTTCCCTACTCAATTCATTTCCCACTGGATGTGAGCAGAGAGCACTCTGGGTGCATTTTTCTCTCGGCCTTCAGCCTCAAGCCTGGGACACAAAGCAAAAACGTTACAATTTTTTTAAAAGGCCAGTGCCTTAGGGATGTGAGTACCACACCCGCAGGGAATGAGCTGTTTCCTCGCACTTTACTACAATCCCCTTCCACTCAGACCCGAACCTTTTCGAGGAAGCTGAGCTGCAAGCAAAGAAGTGAGGAAACCACCCAGCTGGTCTCCACCAAAGTTGCTGAGCTCTGAGGGACTCCACGCACCGAACCAGCTAGCACCAGCTAGCACCAGCTAGCACCATTTCCCCACCCCATCCCCCTCGGAGAAGACGGATGGCCGCCCTGGTATCAGAGAAGTTATGCCAGGAAGAAAGTGGAAACGGTCCTGGCTCCTGTCCCTCTAGCTCTTGGGAAGAAGAAAAAATACTGTGAGTTCTAGGGATCCAGCAGCTAAGCCCCTGTGCCTGATCACCAGGAGCAGCAATAACTATTTTCTCTTCTCTCAGAGGCTGTAGTGTCTCCCTCAGTCATGGGGGGAGTAGTTGTCAGGGGTCACCTCGTCCTTCTCCCTCCACCCCGGCTCCCTTGCAGGCACCTGCGCTTTGACCAGTACGGAAGCATGACCACCACAGGTTAAGGGGCGACAGCCTGCTAGCAAGGTTTGCGGGCTGTTTGCTGGCGCTCCGCCATTTCTCCAGGTTTGGGGGCGCGTTTCCTTTCTCCCCTCTACTCACTTTGGCTCCGGTCTCTCACTGCCTCGGGCTCCTCTTCATGTTCCTTGGGCCCACTGCAGGAGTCTCGCAGGACCGTGTTAACATAGCTTTGGGGACAGAGTCCCGAATCCCCGTGGTCATCGGCTGCAGAAAAATAGGCCAATTTCTCGCCCTCTTCTTCCTCATCCTCCTCCCCTTCGTCAGAAAACTGTGTTCCCTCGGCGGCAGCCAGCATGCAGGGCGCCGAGTGGAAGTGGTGCTCCAAGTCCGCCTGCAAGTGCGCGCCGTGGAAGTGCTGTTGCTGTTGCTGCTCCAGATTCAAAATGTCTTTTACTGAGAAAGGGGTGGAGGTGACCGGGCTTGGTAACATCATCAGGGCCACTTAATCGTCCAGTCCAAATAATAAATCCCGGCGGGGGCGGGAGGCAGCGCGTCGGCTCCAGCTCTCCTTCTGGACTCCGCCGCAGCAGCCGCGTAAAGCTTTTGACAGACGCGGTCCTGCTCCAGTCTAAATCGCCTCCATTGGCCCAGACTTGGGGGTCTGGGTTTTGTTACAGCCACTGCAGGGACTGGGGCCGGGGCTGCGAAGCCTGTGTCCCCGGGTCGTGCGTCACGTCGGGGGCGGGGCTTTCGCCTCGGCCTCCTTCCCTATTGGTTCTGGTTCACATGGACCACGCCCCCCGCATCCTCGAAGGGGTTGCTGTGGCGCTACCAGAAATAGACAAGGACTAGTATAGAGTCGACAAGTCCAAGTCGCTGTGGACCAGGCTGCAGTGCCCCGAGTGCCTGAGCCACCGATTCCCACTCCGCCTGGCCGCACCGTCCCGGTCTGAGCCAGCTCTGGGAGGCTGTCTGTCGGCGAACCAATTGCCGGGAAGGATAGCCCGCCCAGGAAAGCGGCTTTTCCAGCTGTTGCGGGGGCAGAAAACTTCCTGGCTTGTAAATACGGGCGCTGGATCCTCCAGGAGATGGAATGTTTTACATATGCTTGGTTGGGCGACGTGTCCGTTTCGCCTCGCCTCGTTGATTTTGCGCAAGCTGTTCCCTGCACTCGAAACGTCTTCCCCACTTCTCTCCACTCATTAGCCGAAAGCTTTCTTCAAGGCTCTGTTCAAATACCACCTCTTCCAAGGAAGCACTCCCTTGATCTCCTAGCCGGAAGTCCTCTCTCCCAGTCTGAAATTGCAGCACGAGTTAGTTAAAGGACAATCCAGTCACTTATTTCCCATCTAGCTCTACAGCTCTATTGACTGCCTGATCTCTCCAGGCAGACTATGAGGTTCCCCTCCTCCTTCCCAGGGCAAGATCCCGGTTGCTTTTGCCCCTGCAGTTTTTGCAGCAGCTGCACTAAGCAGGTCTGTGAGAGACAGGAACTATGAGGTTATAAATGAACTTTGTTGTCTGACAGCTCTTGGTTCAAATCCTGGCCTGGTTAGTATATGGCCTGGGGCTTTTCTAAACCTCAGTTTCTTTGTCTACAAAAAGGAGACAGTAATACCTTCTTGAGGTTGTTGCCAGGGATAAATGAGGCAAAACAGGCTTGGAGCTTAGTGCAAGGCCCTGTACATGCGAAGTGCCTGAACATATCACCCACTGCTGTTCCACGCCAGAGGCTCAGAGTGTTTGTTGACTGCATTGGTGATGACCCCGCTGGCGTGTTGCACATATTGGGTACTTCCATATGCTTTTGAGAGCAGGATTTGCCCTAACAACGGAGGTGACTCAGTCATGGAGGTTCTTTTCCGCCTATTGAAATGGAGCACCTGGGTCTAGGTTTTGATTTTCCCCAACATCTTTCTAATTCCTCCAACCCACCCTCCAGAGTTCCTAGCTGCTTTCGAGGAGAATCGATGGGGTCCTATGAGATTCCAGAAACTTCATATGTTCCCCAGACACTATGTGCCTTATGCCACCACCACACTTAGTCTATTGAGGGGCAACGGGCGTTTCTGTGAATCCAGCAGAGCTGTTCGTGGCAGGGACCGCGAACACCACCACCACCAACAACAAAACTAGCTCCCACCAAGCAACGGCACCCATCCTTTGACGCTAACTTTCCGAAGAAATTTTTGGCGGCCAAGATGGTGGAACTGGGGGGAGACCCACTACAGATGGAAGGGAGGGTGGATGGTACCGCGACTGTGGACGCGGGGGCCCCGGGTGGTGGCAGACACGCAGGAGTGGGAAGATGCGGTGCCATCACGCGCCACAGTGGGAGAAACGGGTCCTTAATGCAGTGAGGAGAGAGAGAGAGAAAAAAAAGTGGTTGGGAGAGGGAGAGGCGGGGCTGTTCAGGAGCGAGCGGAAATGGTGCGGGGAGTCTGCCCAGGGGGCCGCCCGGGGGCAAAGATGCGGCTCTGGCCACGTGCGCCCGCCCGGAGTACTTAGGCTGGTGGTGGCCGCCGCGAGCGCTTGCAGTGATCCACAGCGGGGAGGATCTTGAGTCGGGCGCCCATCCTTCTGTCTCAGGGGCGTCTGGGGCATTTCTGCTTTGAATCCTGAGACTATTGACGCCCCAGGCGGGGCCAGCGTCTTCAAACCAGGCCACCACGCTGCAGAGAGAAGAATGCCCCTGGTTTTGCTGCGGATCCGGAGAGCTTGGCCACAAAGATCCAGAAAGAGGTAGGGGTGAGTGTTCGGCACTGGGGGGCAGGGGTGCTGGATGTGTGCGTGGCGGTGGCAAGGCATAAAAGAAGGAAACTATGCCCCCATCCACTTCCTTAACCCCAAGGCAAGATCTTCAGAAGTGACTATTTCTGGCCCCCATTTTTTTTTTTTTCGTGATCTCCAGGTTCAGAAAGAAAGACAAAAGTTACTGAAACTACCTCTCCCGATCTTCCAAAAGGAGCCTGCGTTGCTTCTTGCTTCTCCGAGGCGCTTAGCTCCCAGGCCTTCCCTAAGTGCATCCCCAAATCCCGCATTTTAGAACCGAGCTAGGGCGCCAGGGACACCGAGACACGCCCCCTGCCCGCTGCCACTTCGGAGTACACCTGGCCGCGGACTCTCCCAGCGCTCAGAGGAGGCGGTCTCCTCCCCACTCGCGCGGTGTCGTCTCCCCCAAGCCCGCTGCCACGATATTCTTGGGCCAGGTATTCTTGGGCCAGGCCTTCGCGGTTCTCTCCTCTCGCCCCTGACCAGGTTGCTCCTGGGTAGGCCGGCCCAAACGCAGTCCAGTCCCGCAAGCAAGAGCCCGGTGAGGCTCCGGAGCTAGGAGAGCCCAGGGGAAGGGTTCCAGCGGGTGTTTCCGTGTCTCGTTCCTCGCTGCCCCTCACTTTACCAATGGTGCGCAAGGCTCTCGAGCGCAGACGACTGCCCGAAGCCTAGAGCTGATTTTAGTCTTATGCCTAGCGTGAGCGCTCTTCCTCTCCAGCTACCCTTTCTTGGTTGTTCAAGCTCCCTTTGGTCAGTTTGTTCCCCTTCCCCTCTCCCAACTCCCCCAACAAGGAGCTTCCCAGCTAGGACCCCCAGGTAGGCAACTTGTCTTGGGCGCACCCACAACCCTCAACCCCGACCGCCTCAAGCTCGTGTTGGGCCAGCGGTTCGCGCAGGCGGGGAGTGAAACGCTCGCGCGGTCGTTCACCACAGCAACCGGCGGTTCTTGGAAGTCACTTATCTGAACGTAAATCTGCTTCCAGCGTGTATCCAGTTACTGTCGCGTTCTGGGACATTTACATTCTCTTGTCTGAGAAGAGGATCTTTGGAATCCTCGAACTTTGCTCAACTAATAATAGGTTTTCGTTCCAAGCAGTTTAGCTAATTACTGTCAGATAATGTAAATATCGTTGCATCCATGGAAGCGTTTTATTTTAGTTTAATCGAGTATATCTGCCTCCTTAGCTTTTGCCATATGATATATTTCTGTAACCCCCTCCTCCCACGTATGATTAAATATCATAATAAAATAAATGGTGGCGTATTTCAGAGGGAGAAATGTTATGTAGATGCATACATGATAAATAAAGTTATACCTTTTCTGGAGAAAAGCCATGTGCAATTCATTACAATAAATACATTATCAAATAAAAATGTGATGATTCTTTAAAAATTGCAAAGTGTCCCCCTAATTTATTATTCTCTGCACAAAACTGCTTAATACACAACAAATATAGGGAGATAATCCATCATTTTAGTTATATATGCCATTGTTTATATTGTTACCTCTCAGCTATTCAAATAGCCATTTAATTATGTAACCAAGGCCACAAAGAAGTTGAAAGTTGTCTGTGGCTTTCTAATCTAAATATAACACCACAATCAGAAGTGATTTTCTATTAAAGTTTGAAAAAACACCCAATGATGAACTAACATGCCACAACAATGTAACATTTCAGTTGAAATTTTTTTCATTTTTTTACTGCTCTCCTAGAAATTACATCAATGACATCTTACCCCCTCCCCCAAAAAAAGGGGAGCAAGGAAAAAATTCTCAGCAATAGCATTAAGTAGGCTTTGTTATTTTGCTGTTGGTAATGGTCGTGGTGTATATGTATTTTGGCTTGGTTTTTTGGGCTGAGGGATGTTAGAAAGCTATGCAAACTATTTTAGCAATCTAGAGGTAGCAGCACTTTGTGGAAAAGGTGACTAAACTTTCCACTTTTAAAGAAGTGTTAACTAGGTGGGTCAGTCCAGAAAACATTGAACTGAGAGGAATTTTTCATGAGAGTTTTTTTTTCTGTTGTTTGTGAGAATTTGAAATCTCTTTTGGGCATTTTGCTTTGTTTTGCATAGCTGCATAAATGCCAGGTTTTGTCTGGAACAGAGTTTTCTAAATATCTCTCTGCTTCCCTACCCTGGGAGAAAATCAGCCCCAGTTTTGTGATGGATGTAGTTTTTTGGTAAATTACAGGCCTTTGCTGAGGAAATGACTTTCGATTTCTCAGGGAGAGGACCTTCTCTCTTATCTTTTCGTATCTGCCCCCTCCAAAAATTTTAGCTAACAATGTAAATACATCTTTCATCACCAAAACCACCTCTATTCTGCCAACAAAACAGACAAGCCAGAAAGTCTAATTGTACCTTTGTCAAATGAAAATGAAATACTTTTCAAACAAAAACTTAAATGAAGGACACCTGTATACATACACTTACACCACTGTGTGTGCTATGTGGGAGTGCAGTAAGCAATTTTACCTTGGGGATTAAATTGGAATTCTCAGCGCATTCCTTCATTTTTTTTTTTTAGTGTGAGTTCAGCTTCCTGTAGTGAAATTTCAATGCCTATAGTCCTTTTAAAATATATTGTAACTTCAAGAAGAACAGCTGCCATTTTTGCAAAAAATTGAGCGCCTGCCCGCCTGCTCTGTGCTTATTCCGGCGGTAAGGGTGAGGGTGGGAAAGCACCAAGAACTGGTCCCAAGAAGCAGAAATTCTTGACTCTACCTAGCACGATCATCCGATCATCCGTCTTGGAGCCCCACCGCTCCACCTCGAGCTGTGGGACTTCGGAGGCCTCGGGAGAAATCTTTCCCCAAGTCTGTCCGAGTCCTAGTGAAGCGCTTAGCTTCAACCCGTTTGAAAACAAAAAAAGATCTTTCTCATTTTGAAAGAAACGTTTGACTAGGACTTGCGCTT